GATTCAGCCTCGTCTTCTTCGTTAACTGTCCAAATACTGTCAGTAAGAGGAAGGGTTGGGGGGTACCTACTGGGATCTGTCTGGGTAGATATGTCATCTCGGTTGGCTGCAAATCAAAGGGATTTTTGTTTTATGAAATGGAATTAGGTCAGTCCTCGGAAATGACAATTGGAAACCTTTAATGCAAAATCTCCAGTTGTCGGTGCGTGATTATCGATTTCCAATTTTTACACTTTTTCAAAAAGTTATCATCAATTCACCTAGTATATGAAATGAGCAAGAGCACGCGCAATATGAAGAAGACTGCACTACGTTACTATAATCCTCGGCAGCTTCCTCTCACCAGAAAATGCTTGATGACAATATGGAGGCGTTCAAATTCTTCCAAGTCGGAGGACTGAGCAGGATATCGCGTCATTTGCAAATCGTCCCAGTTCTCGGCTACGCCTTGATCTGGAAATATTTGCTCGGGCTTGAAATCCCGTCCAGTCGTCATTGCCGGACTTTACCTAATATTATTAAAACTATACCTGTATTTATGCAGGAGATCATGACTGTYGTCTTAAAACCAAACAAGATCATTATGAGAGCAACTATTGTCACGATGGCTGGTGTCAAGGTGAAGAATAGCCGGACATAGTCAGCACATTCTGGGCATTTACCTCTAAAAAAAGATATTAGAAATAAATCAATGCTTGTGAAAAAAAAAATATTTTGTTTTTGAAAGTCGCAGTCTCGTGTTGAAGACGAATTTGATTTCATTAGTTGAAAAAAATTCCCATTCGCCATTCGTATGCATACGGCCCATATTCTGGGTCTTATGAGTTGTTTCCACCGGAGAGTCTTCGATTTTCCCCTTGGTATGAGAATGTATGCAACAGCAACTAAGTCGATTTGACAAGCTTATACTATAGTTGTATCGATACATGCATGTGCAATCTTGACAACAATGGAATAACCATGTATATGTGGTAATATTACAGGTATAAGAAGCCGAACAAACTCTAAACAATAGCTACCAACAACTGACAATAATAAGGGCTTAAAGTGATTATCAACAGGACTATAAACCATTCGTTGATATGAAAGTGCGCATGCGTAATATACATTTCCATCATGCTTTGTACGGGATAATAGCATCTATGCACATTGTCAAGAAATTCAGTTGTCATTCTAATCTACATACATACCCATTATTAGCACAGGGATAGTTACTCTGAATAACAATGATGATAATACCAACAAAAAGCTTCTCCAAGAATCCCAACGCTGAGTAAATGAACTCACTGGATCCCTAATAGAAACGTTTAAAAATTACTTA